TAACTCCGTCAGTTTTGGTCCGTTTTACTCCGTTCTTTTTGGAGAAGGTACTTGACCTTCTCACCTTGGCCCCCTTATATACCCTGCGAACAGCTTCCGGTCGGACGGACGGCGACGACGCATACAGTGTTATGGACATGTCTTCATACATTCCATTTAACTAGCATAACGGCAACTCCACCCATTTTGGCCCATGACGCCCGGGGCGAACCCTGGGGCCGCAGGTACCTGTTAGGAATAATCCTGCCAAGTTACAGTATGTTCGGAGCACTCTAGCTCCTCCCGTAGTCTTCCGATCAATATACAAGCAAGTGCCCGTCGATCGTCATTGCGTAACAAACAATCCTAACATTACACGGAATCTTTCCGAGAACGTTTCCGACGGAAGGTAGGGTAATAGTGTCCCAAAGGTAGGGTAAGTATGTCCATGGTGACACGAAGCCGGTCTCCATGGCAGGGTAACGTGACTTACCTGGACAGGGTAAACTTACCCGGCCTTCCGACCTATCCTTAGGCCGAAACCGATGTGGTCACGTTACTTCCGCTACTTAGGTACACCTATATCTTAAGTACCTTCTGTTCTTCGAGATACCCGGACCATCGGGCATCTCTCGGACATGCTCAGGCATGCCCGCCTAGTCTACCATATAGCCTCTTGGCCTTATGTATGGGCGTAAACTTAGGTTGCCATAGCTCCATAACGTAGGGTCATTACACAATATTGGCCTCAGGTAGATGTCTAATACACCATTGAAAAGCTGGCATTAAGTAGAATCAGAGTACCAAACCTCAGCTGCTGCGCCCAAGGAATGCTTGTAGGATCTGGCATCAAAATCAGCACTTTCCCAGAGTAAATACTACTTTCATAATAGGTTCTAACTTTACCAATATTGGTGCTCAGCAGATGTCCAATATACTATTAGAAAGCTGGCATTTGAGTGAGATCAGGGTGCTAAACCTCAGCTGCTGTACTCAAGGGGCACCTGAAGGATTTAGCATCAAAGTCAGCATTTTACCATAGTAAATACTACTTCCATAATAGGCTGTAACTCCACTAATACTAGTCCTGGGTAGACATTTCATGCACTATTAGAAATCTAGCATCAAGTAGAATAAGAGTGCAGAATCTCAGCCTCTGTACATAATATACACCTGAGGAATAAGGTATCAAAATCAGTACTTTACCAAAGTAAACATGACATCTATAACTGGCTGTAACTCTACCACTATTGGTGCTAGGTAGACACTTAATCTATTTTTAGAATGCTAGTATTATATAGAAGTAGTATACCAAGTATCAACTTCTGTACTCTAAGGATGCTCAAGTAATCATGTATCATAGTCAGTACTTTACTAGGACTTACTAATTGGCAAAGCTAGTAAAAACAATAAAGTCCAGAATTCAGGGGAGGTGGAAAAGGGGAGGTGGTACAAGTAGAAAGAAGGTGGTAGAAGAAAGGTGGTAGGGGGGAGATGGTAAAGCGGAGCTGGTAGAGAGGCAGCTGGTAGGATAGGAGCTGACTGGGAGGTGGTACTAAAGGGTGAGTGACTGGCAGCTGTGATTATCACTCAGAATCTCCAGATAATAACCACATGATTCTGTTTGCTTAGGATGCAATTTGGATGGAGAACTACCTAACCTAAGCTCCAGGAAGCACAGGACATACCCAGACTTGGTGCCTAAGTACCAGATACAACTGGACTTGGCACCTAGGTATAGGATACACAGGACACAACCAGACTTGATGTCCAAGTACCTGATACAACTAGACTTGGCACCTAGGCACAGGAGGTACAGGATGCAACTGGACTTGGCATCCAAGTATCAGACACTCAGAATGCATGGAACATAGAATCCTTCCTGCTCCTATCAGAATATACTGCCCATATCTCTGATGCAGGCATAATTTTTACTAACATTTATGGGTTTTCTAGTTATGTTTTCTCAGTACTTTACCTGTAGGATTTTCTATTTGGGACGAGGCTTAGCAGGTAGATGTTTTTCACCAGGAGGCATGGCCTTGCCTTTCACAGAGAGAGGAGGAACAACACAGTAAAGACTCTTCCTGTACAACCAACTCTACTACCTTCTTCTTCTACTGTTGTTTCTGGGTGTTGTCTTTCCCACTTTTTCTCTTGCTTTCTCACTTTGTTTTACTGTCAAATTTATCAGCATAATTCTACACTCTTATCTGATTGAATATCACATCATATGGTGGTTATCACAAATTCCACAGGTGTCAGCTCAGTCAATCACACCAACCAAATTACAGAAGCCAACCGAGACACTTTCACACCGGTACACCTGAAGTTAGACTACCAATATGACATACTATAAAAGTCCTAAATACGACACACCAACTCTGCACAATACCCCCAAACCTACAGTGCCTCCGGTCAGGGGCCAGCCGTATATACCGTACTCGAGTATGGTGCCGGACAACCAAAACCAGCCCACCCATCCCAAGCTTTTGGAAAATCTGAACATATAGAGTTATTAATATTTGAGAAAAAACTTTAAAAATAATTCCTCTGGTAATTTTGTAAAGGAACCCTCTTAAAAGTATTTAATGATTTCTATTTAATTTTTATCTTATAGATGAATTCAAAATCAATGACTGGAATTGTGTTGCAAGGGTCTATCTTATAAGAATGTGCAACATCTTGAACTTTGAGCAAAACCACTACAACAACCTCCTGGAGGACTATAAGTGAAAACAAAAACCATATATCTATTCTAATTCATTATTTAAACAACTTTACCAGAGGGATTGCCAGTATACCTGCTGAAAGAGAGGCTATTTCCAATTTAGAAATTTTACATCAAGTTGGCCAAGTGGGCTGGTTTTAGTTGTCCGGCACTATACAGTACATCCTCCTCCAACATATCATATCATAGAAAGAGGGCAGGCAGAAAAGAAAGTACCACCAGTATGCATCAAAGCAAAAAAACAGTAACAACAGTTAATCCTGGTTTCTTCGTCGATCCAGCCTCAGAAGTGGGGTGGGGGGGTTCACCGGGCAATCCTTATCCTTATTTGAAAGGACTTGGGTCGAGGGACGTTTGTTGCAAGAAGGGAGATACAGCCTGAGTGTGCTGGCTTCTACGGGAGAAATGTCTACCGGTGCCGTCCAGAAAAGAAGACCATGTCAAGCGATTAGTCGGAGGGCCGAGGGCTGTGCCAACCAGAGATAGCGGTTCTATTTTCTATTGTAGGCAAGGATGCCACTGCGCGAGGTGCCACAGCGGTAGGGTGCTAGCTATGGCGTTTTTGTCCCATAATGAGGTCTTTTTCATAAGCTTATAAGGCTCCGGGTGATGGGGGATCACAGGTTGATGAAGGCTTAACTGTTGTTTTACCCAGTAACCACCTTCCTAATTAGGAAGGTAGAATCGTGGCCTGGAGAATGGGGGAGAGGGAACTTGTGCGAGTATTGCTGGACCATTTAATGTTTTATGGGTTTAATCCAGATAGGCAGACAAAAAAAAATCCTACTTGAGCTATGTACAAGTGCTAGGGGAGATGTTTTCGTACAAGACAGGGATTATTTTGCGGGTTAACCTAAATTAACTGTGTGAAAACATTATCCCTGCCACTTGTCCATTGTTTTTATTGTTAAACCCTAGAATTTATTTGCTTACTTAGGTACAAACCTCTGCTTTAAAGGCGCAGTCCAGCCAAAACATGGATCCTTCCACCAGGGCACCTCTGTAATAACCACCCCACACCCCCGTTTTGGCCCTCAGGCATGCCGGTCAAAAACCTCCTCCACAGGCCTAGGGAAAAACAAGCTGCCCCAAGTTCCTCTAGTATGGAACCAACCACATATCCTACACTTAGAAAACCATAGCCCTCCCCTCATAACTACAAAGCCACAATCCCCAAAGCACTAGTAGGAAGCGACAAGAAAACCCACACCATATTCTCTTGAGAAAAAAAAAATACAAAAAAAACCCAAACAAAAAAAACCTCCTTGAAGTGACATTGTCAGTTTTCTCCTGGCCCTGCCATTGGAAAGCAGGAAGGTTAACATGAGAGAATGTTTCTATACATTCAAGAGCATAGGGGGGGGGGTATCTGACCAGGGCATGCCAACCCCCCCTTTGAGTGCATTCAAGCCAACTGACTGTAGCAAGACCTGAGACAGTGCAATACCGACCCCGCTACCATAATGTCAACTGGTAGTAGTTGCATTCCTACTCAGAGATGGGGAGCCGAGCAGGTGGCAAGTTTGAACCCTCACAGGGCTTAGAGGCAAGATGCTAACCCAGGAGGGAGGGAGGTAGAGTTTAGAGTCCATTGTAACCAGAGGCCAGGGCCCCAAGTGTAAAAGGACGTGTTTTGCATTACCCAAACGAAGAAAGTTGAGTACCCAAGCCATATGAAGCCCCAAGAAAGTTAGGCAAGGGAAAGATCATGAGGGGGTGTCTGGTGTTTTGGCCCCTATCCACATTCCGGATTAGGAAGGCGAAAAGTGGGGTCAGGATAATAGCGGAGAGGAAGCTTGCCCTGCCACTTGTCCAAGTACTCGAGTACTTGTACATGGCGATTCCATAGGTATCCGGAAATATTGGAACGGTTAGCGCATAGGAAACGCCAAGATTTCCGGATACTTGAGTACCTGTATGATACTGGAGTATTTTTTGTGGAATCGCTAAGTACGCTATGTACGAGTACTAGTGTTTGCTATGTCACGGGGAGGGGGCTCTGACTCCAGCCCTTTGGTGGACCTTGGCATTTTAAGCCTCAAGCGGCTTGCCCTTTGCCATCATCTCTAGCAAGCCCATACTTGACAAGAATGGGGTTCTGAGAGAACGCAGAGCATTGATTACGTCCGCCGAACACAGAAAATCAGCTTAGGAATAACCGAGAGGAGTCGATCGTCCGGAGAACATCGTCTCGGGGAAGGCTCACACATTTGGTATTGCCCCACCCCATCATCGCCACCCCTCCACCTTCATCCGCTGATTGCATTCTAACACAGAATAGAATTAAACCATGGTGGGAAACTTGTTAGTAGATGCGTATTTCTCTCAGGTGAGGGGTGATGGAGTTTTGGTTGTCAATGGTAAGCTCATTATTCACCCCCGATAACTCGAGCTTGCTAATCTCGTTTGCTAGGTTTACCGAAGTTTGATTTGGACACCTACATCTCAGGTTATGCTGGTATAACCCAGGATCGTAGCCGTAGTGCACACAGTAGGGGATGCTAAATCATTTTCCGGCGTATCTAGGGCGTACACAGATCGACCGGCTCATCCATATTTCTACCCACTCACCTCCTCTGGCGATTGAGGGGCTGAAGTTGGCTCTCAAATTGTTGAAGCAAACACAGGATGTTCCCCGGTTCAGATTGGCATTAGATATCCTCCGCAAACTCTCTCCAGAGGACGCAGATGTGGCTCAGGACGATGCTTGGATTGAGAAGACTTCCAGGAAGGTTGCAAGTGATACGGAGAGGATCGAGGCCGATCTGAAGAGCTACAAACATAATCTGATCAAGGAAAGCATCCGGGTAGGTCTAATTACTGGCACCGATCAGCGTAAGAGGAACCATTCACTAACACTAAATATAGATTGGCCATGAAGACCTTGGCAATCATCTATACGCATCTGGTGATCTCGTTGGTGCCTTTAAGTGCTACTCTCGCATGCGCGACTTTTGCACCGCGCCGAAACACATTGTTGATATGTCCATGCAAGCCATCAGGGTTTGCATTGAGCAAGGGAACTACATGACGGTTCAATCACACGTCGTCAAGATACGCAATTTGACTCGGGGCCCCGATGAAGAGGAGCTTTTGAGGCCCAAGCTCTGCGTCGCTATGGGGCTTACACAGCTAGCAGCCGGTGACTTTAGAGCAGCGGCCAGGAGTTTTCTGGATTGCCCACAAACCCTGCTCAACACTTACAACGAAGTCATCACTGCAAATGATGTCGCAACCTACGGCGGGCTTTGTGCTTTGGCCTCTATGGAGAGAACCCAACTCAAGACTGAAGTTCTTGATAACGCTGAGTTCCGCAACTTCCTCGAACTGGAGCCACGTATGAGGAAGGCTATCACTTTTTTCCATACCGCAAAGTACTCCAACTGTTTGAGCATTTTAGAGGATTCCAGAAACGATTTCCTCCTTGATATCCATCTCCACAGACACGTTAACAGGCTATTCGAGTTGATCAGGAGTAAGGGAATAGTCCAATACTTCATCCCATTTTCATGCGTGACTCTGAGCAGCATGGCTCAGGCTTTTGCCACGGATGAACGGACTCTGGAGAAGGAGCTTGTTGTAATGATTGGCAAAGGAGCTTTGGACGCTAGAATCGATACAAAAAATAGTGTAAGTTTCTATTTTTTCTTATCCCTATTTATCTTTATTTGAATGTTCTTTGACGATATCTAGCTTCTCACTGCCAAAGAAACAAATCTCCGTGCAGCTGTCCATCGCGAGACATTGGCAGTTGCCCAAAACTATGAACGCCTTGCCAGGATGAAACTCATGAGAATGAACATGATTAGGTCTGGGCTAGACGTGAGGGGATCAAAGGCATCCACCGGTCAAGTTAATACGGGGGTTGTTCATGGACAAAACTCGTGGACTGGGAATTCCCAGAAGGCGGAGAGGAACTGGAGGGAATATATGTGAGATTGTCAGGCTTTAGTCCCAGTCTAGAAAAAATCAACCTATAAACTATCATGTCGGTTAGTTTGGGCTTTTCGTGATAGTTGTGGTGTCTCGTTACGGAGTTCTTTTTTACACTGTTTTTTCCTGTTATCATAGGGTGTTTGTAGGCTGCTGATAATACAACTAGTTCTCATGAGAAATGCTTCGTTGCTGGTCCCTGGTGCGTTTGGTGATGTTCTTTCTTAAAATCTGCGTTTTGGCGAGCTGGGTATTGCGACGAGGGTTCGGGATTAGACGTTAGTGTAAAGTCTATATTCGTTTGGGGGCAGAACCGTGTGATAGCTCTTTTAAAGGTGTGAAGCCCTTTATTGTTGCCAGACATCCCTGCTATCTGTTCAAGTGAAGTGAATATATTTTCGTCCACTACAGCAATCGTACATAGCGGTAGTAATGCCTGAAGGGAATCGTAGCACCGCGAGTATCTGGGCATACGAGCATCCCAGAACCCTCAAGTTATCGATTCCGAAGCCATGGTACCGCACCGGCAGAGTCATGACCCTGGAGCTGGCTGCGTAAATTTCAGCCGCATGGAGTCATCGCTTTTTGGCATGGCTTGGTTACATCCAGTACAGTACCTGTAAATTTACGGTGTATAAATCTAATACTGGCACCAAATCCTATCGTACATTCCCTACATATCCTGATCATTCCCAATACTGAATTGTGCTGTATAGACTCCGATGACATAACCAACCTGTAATCATTCTACCGGGGTTGGTATAAAAACCCTTTCTCTATCCTATCATACCAGAATTCTGACTAGTTCCTCCTCATATCATAGTTCTATGACCATGAACGACAAGGGTCCCCCCTTCGGTCAAACCCCCCCTCCTGCGAGGAAGCCCTACCTTCTCCCCCCCTCAATCCTCTCCCTGATAATCCAACATCTAACCCCGCAAGACATCCTCTCATTTTCACGCACAAACCACTATCACCACACCTTCACAAGCACCGAAGCCTGGCGGACCTACCTACAAACCCAACTTCCCACAGCGCTCGCCCAGATACTACAAGAACACCGCCACCACCACCTGCAGCACGGGCCTCAATACCGAGGCCCGGGAATAGACTGGGCTAGATGGGCCGGAGAGGCCACCCATGTATCCCGCAATTTCTCCCGCGCAGGATTCATCGCCACGGCACTCCAGCCCCCGATATACACGTATGTCCCGGCGGTGGGCAGGTCAGCGCATTTCCCTGGGAACCGGGCACTCGAGTCCCTAGTGGTAGGAGGGGATAGACAGTGGCATACCACTCCATGGTCGACGCATACGGCGAATTTCGCGGTAATCGAGATGTGCTCGCCATTGGTGCGGGGCAGGATATCATGGTTAGTAAAGGGCAGGGTTAGCGTGGAACCTTCTAGTGGAGATTCGAGAATCGTGAGGAGAGGGGTGGAAGGGATGACGTTACGGGGTTACATTTGTTGAGGCCGCATGAGAAGTTTGGGGATAAGGATGTGGAAGTCGCGCTCGTCGGCAGGGCCAATGGCATGTTGGAAATGCTAGAGTTGGATACGTGGGGTAGAGGGGAGGTTCTCGTTGGGACGATATTGAACAATTCTTCGTTGAGCATTTACAACATTCGGCAGCCAGATAGTGTGGGGGAGCCAGCGAGGGTGGTTCGCGAGGCATCTGAGGTGCGGTTTGTTCATGAGCAGCGGTGGGAAATTTCTTTCCTGGACCATACGAAGGTTGTGGTGGGAAAGGCTTCTACTAAACCAATTGCTACTCATGCGATTGCACCCTCGGGCCTTACGCGGGGGCCAGTGGGGGGGTTTTCAGCAAAGGATTGCGCAGACATGCAGAGTGCTTCTGTCTACGTCGTCGAGCCCCTGCCCAAGGGTTCTGCGGGTGCGAGTGCTAATGGGGATGTATTCCTCAGTGGGTGCTCGGATGGAATAGCAAGGCAACTCCCCCCCCTCATCCCCCC